TGCTGGTAGAAGAAGTCTGCGCAATAGATTTAAATCAACAGCATTTGATTTCGATCCGCCAAAGAAGCCAATGCAAATTCTAATAGTCAAACGAGACCCAATCACTGGCTGCAATTGCCAAATTACGGATGGGGAAAAGAAACTCAGAAAACACATCATCCGAAATCCAATTACGTTTGAGGGCATAACGGAAAGATGCATACCCTCCCGTTGCAAGCAACCTCCTGGAGGGACATCAAGTTTAATTTTAGAATATGACGAATCTCCTCGATCATTTTAGAATGCAATAAGGGAGCTTTGATTTTAAATTTCTCGCCAACGTAGAATTTTAATATTGGAATAATTTTAATTAAGCATCAGCATATTTGTATTAGATTAAAGCATACATGGTAAATTAAAGGAATATTCGTAAAATTATTCATTATTTATCTCTTTGAGGGTTTATCATTTTATGGTTACTATCATTTTGTATTTTTATTATTATATAAGGGTTGACATTATTTCATGGGTTATTTCACAAAATGGTCCTAAACAAATTAAAAATTAACGTCGAAACTCGGGTTTTCCATTTTTCTATCATAAAAATAACATGAAAATGTTTACCATTGTTTTGCAAGAAACCACCTGTGGAGGAACTTTAGCTTTAATTATAGAATATGACGAATCTCTCCTCCACCATTTCTATATGCAATAAAGGATTTCCCATTTAAAAAAAATTCTAAGAAACATTGAAATTACGTTGTAATTTTCGTCCGCACATCTTTGATGATTTTATTTCCATTCCTAACTAAATTTCCACTCTCTTGCTGACAGAAATAATACTCTTTTGCAAACATGATGCACTGATGTTTTTTTTTAATTCACCAAGTAATACAAATATGAATTTTTGGTATTTTTTGATCTGCCGGGCGCTATAAAATTCACCTATTTCTAGTTCGTTTTATTTACTTTTTATGTGCATGAAAATTAGAATTTAAAAAACGGAAGGAAAAAAAATTGCTGAAGTTTTCAGTGACATTTCGCTTCCACCCGGTTTACCAAACAATACTGTTTCTTAAAGTTAAAAATGTGAGATTTCTTAAATTTTGATAATATTACCTTTTAAAAAATAAATTTTTTTTTCACCAAAATTTCAGTATTTATCAACACCTTATATCATAAAATTAAAGTCGCCAAATTGAAGATTTTTATAAAGAACGTGTAAGTTGATTATTAGTTGTAAAATAATTTGATTCAACGAAAACTGTTTGTGTACGATATTGTAACATGAATTTTTAAGTTTAGTTTAAAAATATCAAAGGAGTAATAGTTAAACTCCATAAAAAACCATGTTAATAAACATTTTTAGATTCCACTTTTTATACCTCTGGTGATGGTGACTAAGAAATGCTTTTTATATAAATCTAAAAATTATTCAGTTGTATTCGCCTGGTAATCGTGTACTATTGTAGCTTAAATATATGTTTTACTTTTCCAAATGGAAATAAATTGCGTAATAGTATACACCAAAGAGCCATTACATTATGGTCACCCTGCTAATAACATGTAGGACCCCCTTTAGCCCTCAAAACTGTTAGTACCCGCCGTGGCATTGATTCCACAAGGTGCTGATAGGAAGTCTGAGGTATCTGGTACCAAACGCTCACCAACTGGTCCTGCAATTCCCTCACATTGCGAAGGGGTAGCGTGGCAGCACGAATATCATTTTCCAAGTAGGACCACAAATGCTCTATTGGATTAAGGTCAGTTGAATTTGGGGGCCAAGACGTGACTTGAAAGTCACTGGAATGTTCCTAGACGATTCTACCCTTATGACATGGCGCATTATCCTGTTGGTAAACACCATCCCCCGTAGGAAAAACTGCTGCCATGAATGGGTGAACCTGGTCTGCAACTATGTTCAAGTAGATTACAGACGTCAGGGATTGTTCTATGAGGATTATGGGTCCTAATTTGCCCCATGAAAACATTGTTCCTGGGCGAGAAACCATGAAAACCTAGGAGAGTTCATTGTTATAGATGGAGGGTGGCCATAACGTAATGGCTCTTCGGTGTATATTTCAAAATAGAATTTGAAACAATGTAGAAGGAAAATAATTTTTTTTCATTATTATGATCCTTTTATTGTAACTGCAAGCGTGCAACTTCTACAAATTTTTGGCGACAACTAAATTAACAAATCATTGCTCCGAAATGATATCATAAACTGTGTTTTCTCAAAGTCAGAAAATAAACTGTAATTTCACTAATTTTTCATCAAAATATTTTTTGATTGCGTTGATATTTTAATTGGCTCGTAGACGTGTATTAGACCGTGATGGCTCAATTGTTAAAGACATTAAGCTGTCATATTCAAAGACTGGGGTACATTCCTCCCACCAACCCTACCTCAAATCGATGGCTACCAAAAAGTAAAAGCGACATTAGGCTCAATAGTGACCATATCGAGATTAGTATGACTTTGGTCACGATATTGGGGAGCCTTAACCTAAATGATTCCACTGGTTTATAATAGGCTGTTGAGTCAAGAATATTTTTAGATGGCAGCAAATGTTATTCTCTATGACTCCTATATATTTCCCCAGGATCTTTTATGAATAATTACTATGAATAAAAATCTGTTTAATTGTTGAATAAAAAAACGAAAGGAAGAGAGTTCAAATAACAAATTTTAAATTTCAGTACATCATTGTTTGCGGATTATAAGGATAAATAGAAAAAAATTTAGAAAAACAGGATTAATATTCTGTATTGCTTATATTTATTATTTATTTATGTTCTTACGTAAAAACAAGTTTTTTTACATAAAAAACCTGAAAAATAAGTTTTTAATTCACTTTAAGAATGTAATTGGAAAATAGAATTTTCATAAGTTTAATTGACTAATAAATTATAACGATTAAGAATGCATTTGTGTAAAAGTGAATCAGTAATTCAGTAAATGAGTATCGCACAATATTGCCTTGAAATAAGGAGTGAATAATGAAAGAAAAGATAAATGACAAATGTAAACATAATCACCCGGCTAATTATTGTATTTGAATCAAAGAATGGGTGTGTTAGAAAATGTAAGAATAAAATCGTACCTCCTCTTTCCATTTTTTGTAGAAAATATAATTTTTATTACTCCCATACACTCTTAATTAAATTAAATAATTATATGCCTCTCATTAATTTTTAAGTAATTCTCACAATTCCTTTTCAAATAAAAATAACGAAAAAGTATTTCAGTGAATCAACGTTAAAGGAAAGCCCTTATCAGCAAAAGAGCAAATTAAGTTGTTTATTCGAATCAGTAAAGGAAAAATACGTCAAACCTATAATTTGTGATCCAGTAATTGTGGACAACATTTTATAAACGCTTATTTTTTTTATTCTCTTAGTTAAAAAGAAAATATTTAATTATTTGTTCCTTTGATATGCTTCTCAATTTTTTTAATTAATTTCCTTTTTAATATGATAATCTGGATTCGTGCTTGGGAACATCTCAAATATAAAAGTCGGAGTTTGTAACTTTTCGTACGTGCTAACTCAATCGTTTGTCTGAATCCTTTGCAGTGGAGTGTTATTTTGTATCTCTTATGACTCTAGAACCAACTTGAGCCTTCGATCCAAAAAGTCGTTTAAGCATTTTTATTATTCGTCAGAGAAAATTTTTTAAAAAAATGATTTTTTTTCGCATTAGCTTTAACACTATACATTGCAATAAATAAAATTGTAGACGATTCTGTTTATGATTTTATAGCATGTTCATTAATGTCTAATTATTTTTCGTAAGTTTAGACATCAGCATGAATGGCATGAATATCGGTGAATGGCATGTATATCGGTATTATGTCACTGAATCAGCACTGCTTAAGTTATTTTTAAAAGATTTACTCATTTTGTTCATAGTAGAGCTTTTGAAACGAGTCTTTGGGAGTGGATAACGTGCAAATTTTTAAAAAGAATTAATAAAACCAACTAAGACGAAAAAGTATGAAAATAAAATAATATTTAAAAGATTTTCTGAACCGAAATTAAAAAGAAATTAATTTCAAAAATAACATTTTTGGATAAAGTGGATATGGTGATCGAGAAGAACAATCATATTTTAATTTTATCTGAAGATTATCGGGTAAAAAAGATGCGTGTTTAAAAACGGGAAGTAGAGATTGATAAAAGTAGGAAAATCAGCAATAGATTTGAATGAAAATAAATAAATAAATAAGTTACAGTCAGCAAATCAATGGTGTATGTCTTTTTTTGACACAATTTTTAACCGTTTTCAGAAGTTATGCTCATTGTTAGTTTTTACACTTTTATACACTATTGGTAACAAAACGTAAGTGTGACTATTATAATCGGTGATATGGAAAAGCCATGTTTGGATCGAAATAGTAAGCCTTATACTTTTAACGCAGTAGTCTTCATGGTCTTACAGTTCTGAGCGAAATACAAGTGCAAACTAACTATTGTGGAGCCTTTTTCCTATAGAACTAACCAGCATTTGAGTAAAAGGAGATTAAAACCATGAAAATCTTCGATGGTTAGCCTGATGACAAGGTTATTCTAGCCCATGATCTGTCAATCACTGAAGGTATTTTACGTAAGTACTGTGGTCAGTGCAAACAGGCAGCAGAATTCACATCCACCAGCCACCATTGAGATTTGAATCTGGGTCATCTTAATGGGATGCAAGCACTCAATTCCCTGAGACACCGCAGCTAAATCAAACTACATTGTCATACTTCTTGAACTAGATTGAAAGATGCCTTAAACTGTAATAAGGTTTGATTTATCACCTTGACCTTTAAAACATGACCTTTAAATGATACTGGTAGTTTGTAGTACAGATACTACGCTTTGGTGTTGAACCGATTTTTCTGAGGGAGTGAGGAAAATTAATTACGCGCATTTTTACAGTAATAAAATTACTTGATAAATCAGTATTTATAAGTCCTTAATTAACTTTAGCACATTGAAGTTTCAAAGTATTAATTCCTATTTATTTATTTCAGATAAATTAGAAACCGGTTCAACTTATCGTGAGACGTATGAAGAAGTTCGGATTAAAGGTAAATGTATGTATTCCATAACTCATGTTTAAAAATTTTTTTCCCTGATGAGAATTTTTTTTTTAGTAGAAAAGATATAACAAATATTTAACAAAAAATATCTCATGCTTTGCGTTTAAAGATACATACGAACATTTCTTTGTTTAAACCAAGCAAATGTACTTTTTAATTTATCGGTTATATTCTATCGGCTATATTTATTTGAAAATTTAGAGATAGTGTCAAAGTTAATATCTATTCTGATAATTTAAAGTGTTTTTACTATTTGCAGCACACGCATATATTTTTATTCAGTTTCGTTATTTTAATAAAATTGATTTTTTTTCATAAAAAAACTGCCATTTGAAGATAGAAACTTGAGTTAAAGCTTTTTTAAACATACTCACTAAGTTGTACCATTATGCTACTTTGGTAACTTTTTAATTGGGTTAATATGCCAGTTATACTATTATTTTCCTCTTATCATTCTTCTCTTTAAAAAATGAAATTTAAAAGAAATTATTTTGTTTTCAATGTTAAAATTACTATGTAGGGATATAATGAAACAAGTAAATTACTTTTTAGCTGTATTACAGATAGTTACAATATATAGATTAATAGATACTTACCAAAGTTAACACAAAAGTTTTAAAAAATATCCTTATCACTTAGTTAAGTCCAACCATATATCCACTTAACCTCACCTCAAATAATTCATAATAAATAGAATTCTGAAATTTATTCTTAAATATCTACGTTCCTTAGATGTTTTTCAACTATTTTGAACTAAAAACGACTTTCTTGGCAGTTTTCAATGATATTAGAGAAAGTTCATCAACAGCATAAACTAACATACTGTATAAGTTGATCATAAACAGATCATTTGCAAACATTTTTTTCTTCATATTTTTACACTGAAATAAAAATACTTTCCACAATCTTATTAAATGTCTCTATATCAAAAAAAATATCTTAATTTAAAAGGATTAACTGGATGTCTCTTAACGTATACTCACTTTACCCCATGTATCCCCTTTACCCCACTTGACCCTACTCAATCCACCATCTTAATGATTTAAATCGCCTACCTTACTTATGTGAATTATATTGAACAGACGATGTTTAGCTTAACAGCTTTCAATGAATAAGCTTGCCAATTTTCGACGGTTTCAAAATATGTAGAATAACCGAATTGAATACATAAGATAGTTGTCGTAAATTTTAAATATGGGCATTCACCTTCAAATATGGACACATAAGAAAACTGGCGTAAATTTGATCCCTTTAATGTAAATTTCACTTTTTATGTATTTTGTCACATTCTTCAAGCTACTTAAGCAAAAACAAGTTCTTACGTTTAAGAATGAAATTTATCAAAAATTTACATTTCATACTTTCATGAAAGCAGAAGTAGAAAATTTATTGCGTTTAAAATATTAAAATATAAGTAAAAGTACAAAATACAAAATTTAACTGAAATTGGTAAAATACTTTCCGAATCGTAACATTTAAATAAAATTCTTATTTTAGTACTTTTGCTTTCCTGAAAATCAGTAGAATATTTTTTATGTGATAAAATTTTAAGAACTTAGCATTTCAATGTTTTCATTTATCAAGATATATTAGCTCACTTTCACCCATAATGTGCTTATTTTATTTCAAAATATATTCTTTAAAATAATGTAAAATTTTTTACCTTTCACTTTTGAAATTTTTTCGACCGTTATTGATATCAAATTAGATTAGAATTAGTTACAAAAATTTCTTCAGAAATAAAATTATAACTAATACAAAAAATAGATTCTACATGAAAGTATTCTTAAATAAATTATAATAATTTTGTAATGAATTGCAATTTTATAATAAATTTAAAGAATCGTACTGCATATACATAGTATAGCGTTGAAAATTTCCTTAGATGAATTTATTTCCTAATAAAGTCCTCTAAATCTAATACATAATAAATTCATCCATTCATATGCTAAACTGCACAAATCTTTACAGCTCAACAATTTCATTACATTTATATTTACATAAATGAAATTCTCTACAATGGTGATATTAATCAAAGAGTGTAGGAGCATTTCAAATGCTTATCATTTCTTTGTATTTAGAAATGTATTGCTTTCATAATTATCCATACAAGGCTTTACAAGTGTCTTTGATCTTTGGCATAGTTTCTTACAAGTCTAAATTAATTTATAAAACAAAAAAATATTTAATATTTATCCCTGATAACGGTTATTGACAGAAAAAATGACAGGTTTTCTTTGTTTTCTTTCTTTTTCTCTTCAATGGTAGAAATCTTAAGTATTCAGAGAAAAGACCACTTTTTAAAACATCAAAATTGGAATCACGTTAAACTCCATAAATTAGTTACTTTTATTTCTTTTCTGAGCCAACTAGAGCAAATTACTTCATATCGAAGTTTAAAAATATCTAACGCTAGCATTCAGATCATTTCCCAAAGTACCTATAAACTTGAGTCACTAGATTTGAAATGTTCCGTTGAATTAAATTTAACCCCTTCCCTCTCGCTCCCGTGAAAATGACGGGGTGAGGTTTCGCCCTCTATTTCTCGCTCCCGTAATATTTCCGGGCTGGAGTGTTCAGTAGTAACGCGCAATAATAATAAGACTAATTCATTTCTTTTGCCCGGAGAACATTTTACTTCTCATTTTACACACCAGATGGCCAGGATACTTTTAAGGTAATTGTAGATAGTTCGTTTATTTTAAACTAGATGTCACCACTAATCAGTTTTCAGCCATAAAAAAATAGGCACTTTCATGACCGTTTTCTTGAAAATTAACCGATCGTTAAGGGGTTAAGTTATGAGAGAGGTCACTATTAAAAATGGTATATTCAAGTTCTGCCTTAGTTCAAGTACCGAAAGAGAAAGACCTATGGTAGTTTCGTCCCTTTAGCAACTTTTTTAGATTGTTCCCCAAAGTACCTATAAACTTCTGGAGCTACTTGACTTGAAATGCTACGTAGGATTACATTTAAGTTATGAGGAAGGTTTATATGCAAAACGTTATATACAAGTTTTGCGTTGGTTTTGGTATTAAAAGTAAAGGTCAATGGTAGTGTTGTCCCTTTAGTAACCTTTTATGTAGTAAATTCTTCACTTCATTAACTAAAAATATGGTTGAGGAAAAATTTACTAATATTACCCTGACACGATCAATAAAGGGAGATAAAAAATCTTAAAGGGAGTCGATAGGACATACACCAGTAATGCTAAGACTGTCCTTTTTGTACCTTTGTACCAATGTACCTTTTTTCAGCATCTAAACAAAACATTACTTCAGTGTTTCTTCACAGAATATTTTCATACACAAGTTTGCACTGAAATAATCGTTAATACATATCTTTGGCAGAAAGCTTTTTTAAAAATTATGAACTGTAAGCCTTTATTTTTTACAAAAGTTTCATCATTCTTGGGCAAAACATTTTCAAAAAATATATCTATTAATGCTAAAACATAATCATTGCATACATCCCATAGAATCTCAATTATATTCAAAAGATTTCAAAGTGATATTAAATAGTTTGTCAGAAAAGGTACATTGAAAAAGGTTAGTTTTAGCATTATTGATCATAAATGTCATTCTTAGACCAACTGACTCCCTATAAAATAGAAAGTAAACAGTGAAATTCTCACCTTGCCAATGCTCTAACTTATTGAATAAAAATACTTCAGCAGCATCATATAAGTACAGGTCAGCCATTTTATGTACACAATTTAGAAACAAAATGTAGGTTTCACTAACTATTTAATGCATACAATATTTTTTTTTCACTTTTTGATAGATTACCTCCTTTTGATAAATTACCACCCTTATTGCTTTATAGACGTGGTTTTTTTTCTTCATTCTTATAAATTTATGAGTAAAGGCTCTTTGTTTTAGAATATGGATGTTCGATTACGCATATATATGACGACAGTAAATTGAATATTTTTATGTCAGAACACAATAAGTTTGACTGTTCTTACGGTTATGATTTAAAATTAAAATACATCCCTCAGTTTTGGAAAGTATTGAAGCGTTTGAGTATTTTTTTTAACACTTCAAAACACGATGTGAGTAAAACGATCCCAGTAATTCTTGACAATATTAAAAACTACTAAAATTATAATAGTTTTTATGGCATGAACAACTACGCTTTTAATCTATCCTTTATATATTTCGAAAAGTGTAAAGATAAAACAAATCGCTTCATTGCGGATATGCATATGATGGCCAAAATTCTCTTGGAATTTCTTGACCAAATTTTTTGATTGAAAATTTCTGCTCCGGAAAGGGTTAAAGTAAAATGTATATATTATTTGCATTTGTATTTCGAACTACAATAGAACCTAGATTATTCAAAACTTTTTCACCCATGTATCATAAATAAACAATTTCCAGTAAAGTCTGTTTCTTTAATAACTGCAAATGAATTTTTATGAAGAATTTTTATGAATTTTTCTGCGCAAATGAAAGGTCTACAACGTGCTCTTTTAATTCAGTAATACAGGGGGTCATCAAAATTAAAAACACTACTTTCACTACATGACTAAACATTTTAGCTATTTATGACTAATAAATGAGTGATGCATGCAATCACCAAGTTTCAAAACTTTCGGACCGAATTACACTCCATAACAAAAATATCGACGCACAAAGAACGCACTAAGATGAAGCAAAATCGACGCTCGATCAGGCAGGAATGATGCCGACTGGGGACGTATAGTCTTTAGCGACGAATCCCGCTACCAACTGTGTCCTGATGATCATCCTGAAGACGTGTTTGGAGACACACAGGGCAGAGGGGGGATCCTGCCTTCACTATTGCACACCACACTGGACCTCAACAAGGCATTATGGTCTGGGGTGTCATTTCCTTTGACAACCGGACCCCTTTGGTCGTCATTAGAGGTACACTTACTGCACAGCGGTACGTCGACGACATCCTAAGACCTGTTTTGCTACCGTTCCTTTTGCA